TGGGGTTTCAAGTCGTTTTACAAGGCAAATTTTGTGATGAACAAAATTCAAATCTCAAACCTATGTTGCACAATATTTGCTTTGCATGCCTGAAAATTGTTTTGCACTCCATAATTAAATGCTTGCATAGCTGTTAGAGGCTTCAACTTAAGCATTCAATGCATTGCCCATGCTTTATGTCCATTTTAGAAAGAAAGTGCACAATGTCATTTTGAAAAAGTAGCTTTATATACAAAACTTGTTCTTGAGCCTTGCAATTGTTTTCTTATGATCATACACGACCTATAACTCAAAATAAGTTTGTCTCAAGCCTCACAACCACTCAGTCCATGCTTGTACTTCATCTTGGAACCTTACTTTCACTTTTCTTCAAAATCAAGTAACATAGCAATCAGCCTATATCTTGTACTTCTGACCGTATCAAGAACTCAAGTCTTCTCCTTACTTATGAACAAGTTATTTGCATCAAAACACACGCATACACGAGCCAAAAAACTCTCAAGAACTCAGAGTTGTAACACATACTTCCATTCTTGCATAACCTGGCCAAAAACATGAAACTCACATCTCCCTCGTGCGTTTTCAAGCCTTTTGGATCCTAAAGCTTCTAAACATCATTTAGAACTCATCCCACACCCTGTCACAATATTGTAACACCATTAACACCATCTTCCATTTTCAAAAATAGAGCTTTGCACTTGGACTTCTCCAGCACGATTCATCCATCTCCAGTACAAATTAAACATTGCATTAGCTTCTTAGAATACGATTTCAAGTTTTAAGGTAAGTTTTCTTAACTTGGAACTCTTCATACAAGCATCATTAATGGTTTATTTGTGAATAAGAAATATAGATATCATTGTCCTGAAGCTAACCGTGTCCTTTGATTTCATTATTATTGCTTGAATAGTTAGAATTTTGAATCTGAACATCCTAGAAAAGTTAGGTCAGAATTTGGTACCATTCAAAATTCATGCTCATCTTTGATTTATAGTTTTAATAATTTATATTTCTGGAGTCGTTTTGAAATTTGGAACAAGTTTGATGTTTACATTTTTGCAAATGGACAAGAAATGAGCAAGTTGCAGATATTCGGGCTGGAGGTTGAAGATGAAGCTATAACATGAACTTGTTTTATCTTAAGTTTATTAATTGTTGTATATTGAACGGATGAAACAGGTCACCCCAGTGGTACAACAAGCACGCATATTAGTTAGGTTCTGGGTTCGAGCCCCAACGTGACCTTTTTGCACTTTTTTGTTCACATTTTTGTTCACTTTTTGGCTGAATCGGGCGCTTAGGCCTCAACCCCCTGGGCTTAACTTTTTTTTTGCTTCTTTCATACTCTCTGTTTACTTTCTAACCCTTGACTTTAATTTCTTTATTTTTATTATTATTATTATTATTATTATTATTATTATTATTATTATTATTATTATTATTATTATTATTATTATTATTATTATTATTATTATTATTATTATTATTATTATTATTACTATTAATATTATTTTTATTATTACTAATAAAAATCCAAAAAAAAATATTTATATTTATTTAGTTCATTTTTCTTCATAAAACAAAAGAGTAAAAAAACATCTTTCTTTAATAAATTAATTTTTTTTTTTAAATATTTAGATGATTAGTTTTAATTATTATTTTATTACTTTCTCGTGAATAAAATTAATTTAGAATTAGGGTTTCTTTTAATTCATTAATATACATTTCATTTTTACTAATTTAAAATCTTTTCATAAATAAAAACCCTAAAAAATCTTCTTTTTAGTTATTTTCTTTTCTTCTTTAGGTTAGGGTAATTTTTCATAATCATTTTAAATTAGGTCAAGACTTAAAACCCTTTCATATAAAAACAAAAAAAAACAATATTCATTTATTTTGTACTATCTTTATATTCTTGTAAATTTATTCAATTTCAACATGGTTGTAATAGATAATTAGGGTTTTAATTTCTTGAAATTTTCCCAATTTGTAATTTGTATATCCCCTCCTCTAAATCATGTAATAGCTTACTATTTTTATTTTTCGCAATTTAAATGCTTTATATATAAATGCTAGTAATTAGAGTTTTGTATGGAAAGATTAAAACCAACAAATAGCAAACCCTAATCAAAGACAAATCAAGCATGTAAATCAATACACTTGCAAACTTACACCCCTAGGGTAAATCCACTTTGTTGCCTTACAAAATGGCCATATTATGCATGTGAGGTATCTTAGCAAAAACAAGAAAATACAAGATCACAGTCCCTCGATGAAGCTATCCATGTTTTCTTTCAAAATGATCTTAGTCCCTCAAGAAAATGCTAAGATATCTCGCAACATTGCTAATCATGGTTATACGATGACCCATGCCCGTCCCGTTTACATCCAAAGATAGGGTTACTTACCAAATCAATGGTAAGATAACAATGTCAAAGGAAAGAGGAAATGAACATGAAAGACTTTTGAGTAGGTAGAATGTTCCTAGTTACTTGCTCAATTTCAAAACAAAAACATCCTTGCTATTTTCAAAACAAACACCAACACTTTCAAAAAACATCTGTCAAACTTGAAAACATTTTCAAAAGATCAAACACTTTGTATACATTATTACGAACGGGAATCATTATAAAGTTTTACTAAACAAAGTCCTCTTTATAAAATACTTTCAAAAACCATACAAAGCACATTTTCAAAAAAAAGCAAGTGATCTAGCAAGTAACTAAGAGCCTATGGAAAACCATGGAAAAAAGGGTGCTAATATCTTCCCTTTTTATAATCTACCCCCCCCCCCCCCCCCCCCAAACTCAAGAAAACATCTAAAAGGTCTTTCCTGTTCTTTTCAGCCTTTCCTTTTGGATAAAAGAAAAGTCGGTGGTGACTCTTGCTAACCGCAACATTTCCCTTGCTTGTACCCAACGAAGATGAGGCTCTAACGAAACAACTCCTCTTGTTCCCAAATCTTTTTTATCCTTCCTATGAATATGGCACCAAGCATTTTCAATATCTTCCTTAGTTTCCTTGTGATCTTGTCTTGATAAGATGGATGCAGTTGTGTCATCACCTACAATATGAACATCCAAAGAAACATATAAACATATTTTGATGTTAGTTAAAAGTTAATCCAACTGAAAATAAAACATGTACAAGATACACAATTCAAGGTACTTGGTGATCTCTCAAGGGCAAACTTAAAGATAGGATGAGGTAGAAGGGAGAGCCAACCCTAATGTGTGATCTTAATGAATTGATAATATGAGATAATGAGAGACCTTAGGGGCAAAAATTGGGGTAAAACAGGCACGCAAGATACTATGGTCGTACCACACGACACCATAATTCACCACCAAGAAACCTCATTTTCCATGGTTTCTGGTGCGTGTTAGACGACGACACCTTATATAGAGAGGGTGAATACTTCATTAAGCCAAAAAAATCCAGATAAAAATTTTGGTTTTAAAAAATAGTTCAAATAGAGTGCACGCGGAAGGTTTTGATGTAGATCATATATTGTCGTCTATACAAACCAATTTATTGGATGTCGGATGTGCAAATGTAAAGAGATATATGGAATGAATAATACAATAATGAATTTATAAACTTTAATCAAGTAAAAAAGTATTAATCATATATAGAGAGTTACTATCAAAAGAACAAACAAAAATATTTGTCGAACACTTGGTGTGCGACCAGATTTTCATAATTTTCCTTTGAGTTGTGTTGATATAAAAAAGCACTTATAATCAAAAGTAATTATAAGCAAATCATCACACAATTCAAAACAAAAACATTCACGGAAAAATTCCTATGAGTCGATCGATTACTCAACTCTATTTGACAAATTGATAAATGAAAATTAAAGCATGTAAAGCGATAAGAAAAAGAGACACAAGGATTTGCTTAGGAAGTTCGCCAATCGTCCTTGCTATTGCTACATCTCCCCCGAATTCTAATTTTGGAATTAGGATAATTTCTTACTATGCAAAAAGTCATTAAAAGAGAAGTGTTCCAAGACCCACCCTACAAACCCTAATTTTTTGTTGTTGATTCAAACCATTATCTTCTTTTGATCTTGAGAAAGACCAAGAAATAATAGCTACCAATTGATTTATTGAATCTTGCTACTCCTTTGCATACTTTATCTCCAAAGCATTCGTGCATGATCAATTGTACCTATTGTACACAAGACTTCAATTTGTTTCATTGTTCTCGCGCTACTTCCTTTGTGTTCTTTATCTTCAAAGTTTCTTTGCATTCTTTATTTCCAAAGGCTTTCACTAGGCTCCAAGCCTTTGTTGAATGTCTTACACGAAAACCCCTAAATCTATCAACGATCTTGGAGGACATACCCGTGGTTTTTCCGGATGAAACCCTCTACAAATATCAACCTAATATTCTCGGTTACACAAGAACCATATTGGAAGTTATCAAACCTTGTCAATATGAAACCCCGACAAAAGATGGTTATGTGAGATTGATCAGTGTGTATACATAGGTTGGAGGTTGAAGATGAAGAGAAAACGCAGTATGTGTTTATAATTTTATCAAGTTGAAATGATGCACGAATGATGTTTTTATAGTTCTGTAAATTGTATGACAAAAGGTAATTATAGGAGAGGATCCAAATCAATATTCTCAAAAGTATTACAAGGAAAGTATTACAAGGAAACCAGTACACATTGAATGCAAACAGAATGAGTCATGAATATCTTTAATCTCAGTGGTGTAACTCTAGATGCCTAGGTCACACGAAGAATGCCTTAAGCGAAAAACAAACTAGATAAGGCAGGACCACTAGCCCAAATTTTAGAGGCCTCCGGGAGATATCCTGTACTGCATCAACAATACAAAGACTAAATTGATGCAGTGCATGATATGCATCAAACCCTGAAAAATATTGGGTGATACTCGTCCAAATAATTTATTTATTTTGAAAAATAAAGAACAATATAAAAAGTAGATCTTCAACGAAGAGCTAAGATATTACACAACTGAACTGACTAAAGATCCAAAAGAATATCGAAATCGCAAATGTTTAAATTCCAAAAGGAGTCATCAGCATTTGGCAACTCCATATTGAAGTTGAAATCCTCTTGCAGTGAAGAGCATGACCCAACTGTCTCACTGCCAACTTGCTCCTCCAAGTTCCACAAACTGTGTGACCACATTGCACTTGGTATAGAGGCATTACCAAGACTTGGTTGTGAAGAAGAAGCACAATTTCCACCATTTTGATAATTCAGAACCATATGTTTTGAGTCATCATTGCCTATGGGAACTTTACAATCATTATTTAAAGCTGGTATTGCATTCAAACGAGGTGAATGAGATGAGAAAGTACGAGGTTGAGGTTTAATAACTTGATGAGTTTTCATGGATTCTTTCAGTATTTTTTCTGTATCTTTCTCTTTGTTTGAAGCCATTTTCTTGCGTAAATGTGTTTGCCAATAATTCTTCACATCATTAGCTGTTCTACCCGGAAGTCTTCCAGCAATCAATGACCATCTATTCCCTAGGAGTTTGTGTAACCTGAGTATCATATCAACTTCATCCTCAGAAAAGCTCTCTCTATTTATGGTAGGGTTTAAATAATTTAACCACCTCAATCTACAACTTTTGCGGCATCTATTCAATCCTGGTGGCCATGCATATAAGATTTTGAAAAGTTATATATATGGAAAAGAAAGTTTACACTTTACATTGTCTTCTTTATACTTAAAATTAATTAACTAATTATAAACCTAACACTACTGAAATATAAACATCATTAATTATACCTGCTCTTTGAGGAGCTAAATGCCATTTTCCTTCACCATACTTATTAATGCAAGCCTTGAGAAGGTTGTCTTCCTCATAAGTCCATGCACCCTTTCTCAAACCACTGGTATTCTCCATACGCACCTTTCCTCGTATAGGCTTTTCTTAATATATATATATAGGCTTGGTTGTTGATTATTTACCATTATTTTTAAAAACAACCTAAAATTTGCTTATAATTAAATTAATTTTTATATATTTATATATAGTTGCTTTAAGGAAAGGATTGGTGTACTTTTATTTTGGTGACAAAGGACAAGAAAGTATGACTCTACTTTCCATTTCCTTTATTTTTACTTGACACGTCATTTTCTTTTAGTTCACCGTATATTAAGGTACAGTAAAATAAAATTGACATATGATTGATAGGCTGAACCACAAAAATCATAGAGTAAACAAACTCTTCTCTCAACAACTCCTATACATTTGATTCCAAGTATTTTGATACGTAGGAGTAATGAGTGACTAATGAGTGAGTTTACGGTTACTCCTTAATGTTATACGAGTATCGAACGACACTTTTATTAACATCTGCAACATATTTCATCTAATCATTATTATAAACAAACATTTTCTTTTTAGACCAGAGAAAATATTTATATACAATTAAATATATGAATGTCCAATGAAACACAAGAAAATAGAATTTGAATTGGTTTCATGATGAAAACTTTTTCAATCACTCAAATACAAACTATAGAAAAACAACAATGATAAATAATACAAGATATTTTATCTTGATTCACCGTTAAATAAATTAATTTCAGTCCACCTATCATGTTGATTTTGTCTTATCAACAAGAACTTAATTCAATAATCAATTCATTGATTACAACCACAATGACTACTTGTCAATGTGTTTTCAAGGATTCTGACTATACCCTAATCCCTCAAAGAAATCATCTCAAAGACAACATGTCTTTGACATCTCGAGTATACTGACTAAACTTAGTCACCCAATGAACTTTAACCAACTAATTAAATATAAGCTTTATAAGACAACACATTAGATTATATGAAACATATAGTTATAAGTGTTTCTTTCTTGTTGTTCTTGAAGATTTTCTAAACACTTGCTCTTTTTCTTTTGCTGAATAGTCTTTTTGCTTCCATGTGCAACATGTTAGCTTGTTTCTGCATCTTCATGATTTTTATTATTGTATATCTTCAATGATCTCCTTCGTATCTTCATATATATCTCCATTGATATTTCTTATGTCTTCTTTTGTATATCTTAATTGATATTTGCCATTTCATTTTCTCTTATATGTAATTTTGCACATATTTTCTTTTTGTTCACATCTTCGTTTGTGCAGCTTTCCTCATTCATTTCTTTTACATTCTTTCAAGTTTGTCTTTAAATAGATAAAGAAATAAATTCATTGGAGAATAAGCTAATGAGTATCCACAAAATATATAGTTGTTGAAGACGTTAACTAGTACTAGACTAGAGTGGCTCTTGCAGTAGTAGAAGAGATGATGGTGTAGTGTATATGCCTTTATCCAAATTTTTAGGGAAGTGGATAAGATGATGTAATGTTGTCACGTGATAATTTTTTGTCATGAGATTCTTATCGGAGATTTCACATAAGTATGATGAAACTTGATCAGAGTTCAGAGTTACTATCTCTCTCTTCATAGTTGACATCTTGAGTCAAAGGCTTTTGAATATATATTGTTGAAGCTTGATCAGAGTTATTATCTCTCTTCAAAGAAAAATTCTTGAGTTAGAGGCTTGTTGTTAAAGCTTGATCAGAGTTACTATTTCTCTTCAAAGCAAACTTTGTGAGTCAGAGGCTTCTGAGTATAATTGTTGAAGCTTGATCAGATATGGTCTTCAGATCTTAAGAACGTTGAGACTTCAGAGTCTCGAATCAGAGCTAATCTAGATAAGATCCTTTCAAGATTTATACTTGAGGCTTTCAGATGCAGATTTTGCTTGTAAACACATCTTTTTATTCTCCACTAGTTCAAAGTGTGTTGATGTCTAGAGTTCCGAGTTGCTTGTTCGGAATCCAAAAATTTAACTAGTCCAGAATTCACAACTTGCTAGCTCATACTCCAGAACTATTTATCAGATCCTGCACACTTAAACAAATCGTTAGAATACAAAATTGTTCTTCATACAATTTATATTTATTGTCACCAAAACTAAAGAGTTAGTTACAAAATCAAACTTGTTTCAATAATGTACTCTTTGTTTTTTAATCATTTTATTCTTGCATTGGTTTCTGTGTCACTCCTAAAATGCTTTGAAATGGTTACGGTGTGTAGATATGATGTTTGTAATTTAGTGTCAATATACCACAACTCATTTTATAAGGTTTCTTTTTTTTTATATTTTACTTTTAAGGTGGCGAAATGTTGGTATAAGGTTTCTGATTGATTTATTTTCTCCTTAATGTTACCAAGCCCTTTTGAGTATCTGAGTTCTTATTTTTTTGGTAAATCATACCTCTAGACTTATGCGTAGATATAATATGAGGAGTTATGCCATAACTACAATTCATCCCTGGCTTCTTTTGAACCACTGAAGGTTGTTCAAAATTGGGAAAACCTCCAGCTTAAGCATCAACCTTCCCTTTAATGATACAATCCTCATGAGATGATTTAGAATCATGAGTATGATGTTGAAGCATCTTGTCTGACATCTTGGTTGGTCTTTGCTTTTTCAGAGTATTCTCTTTATCAATCTTCAAACCTTGAAAACTCCGAATGACTTCCTCAGATAAAAACTTCTTCATAAGAACTTTACCATTATTGGTGACATTATGTTTAGAATTGTTGAAGTTCATATTCCACCTTTGATCACATAGTCGGTTCACATTGGTAGTTAAGCATTCTCTCAATTACACCTCTGCTTGATCGAGAATAACCAATTTCTCTGAGCCCTTGATTCTTCCCTTTGTTATATTGCATCAGACTATTTTATATTTACCAGTGTGCCTAGTACCCCTACTATTACAATACCAACCTTTACTAGAGGAACCTATGTGTTCTGTATGAGCTTTGGAGCAAGTTGATGTAGCATTGGGTTTCCATTTCTTCTTAGCATGGAATTCCTTGCGTCCTCTGATCTTCAACTTTAACAGTTCGTAACAATGGTAACATATCATATCCAATCTCTTGTTACAACTGTGATGAGGTGACACATGTTGAGCATAATGTTGCGACACGTGGTCCAACCTCAGAACCTCAATCTTATTTTTAGGAAGAACCATATTCTTTGAGGGGATTTTAATCTTTTTCATGCTCTTTCCAACTCATGTTCTCTTCATATCTCTAGACATCTCTCTAAACTCTATTATTTCATTAAGTATATTTGAACTATTTTACAAATTACTTTCAGGTTGTATCAAGTTTCTAAGTTTGTAGTTTAGTGAAGAAAACTCTTTTTCTACACATGTAGTGGTTGATGCAAGCTTCTCTATATCCATCTGAAGAACACCTATGGTTTTCTCCTGATTGTCAATTGTTATGTAAGCTTCTTCCAACATGGTGTGCAGAAGCTTGAACGATGCATCAAGCTCCTTTTCAGTAAAATCTTCATAACTGAACTCACTTTAAGGCTCAAATATCCCTTTTTTGTCTTTTTAGAAAGGTAGGATATTCTGATTTAATGCGTCCAAAGTCTTCACATTCAAAGCACTGAGTACCATTGTCATCATTTGGTTTATCTTCACTCTTGCCTTTATTTTGGGGATTGATATTGGACCTCTTGTTTTGGACATTTGTCCTCCACTTTCTGTCCAAATATTTCAAGGAATCGTTGAACTTTTCCCAAAAAATATCTATAGCGTCTAGTAAACTCTCTTCTTTCTCATATTGAATATATTCCTCCCCATTGTTCGAAACAAAGGCTATACCTTTGTTCTTCTTTTTAGTCTTGTCATTGATGGATATCTCAAAGGTTTGTAAGGACCCAATGAGTTCATCATCCTTAATGTTGCTCTAGTCTTAAGCTTCTTCAATAGCATTCACTTGAAGAATGGAAAAACACAAGAAGTGGGGGTTTGAATTGAGGTTTTTAAAACTTAAAGTAAAAAACACGTTGGTTGTCCTGGTTCGTTTGAACTCAAACTACTCCAGTCCACCCGCCAAGGTGATTTTTCCTCTCTCAACGAGGTCTTAATCCACTAATCAAACTTGATTACACATATATAATGACAACCGTCAAAGTCTTCCTAAGTTTAAACCACAACCTGATTTTCTCAAGGAATTACTCAATACAATATTTGAAAGCGTGTACAAGATGTGTTTTCTAATAAAACAGTATAACACAAGTGATGTTTTACATAAATGAAATTAAATAAGTTGAAGGTGATGAAAATATCTCGTTTGTTATGCACATAAAAATCGTAAATGATTTCTCCTTCAAGTTTTGTTTATATAGGAAATGCATGTGGGAGCTTTTGGAATGTTGATAAATAGTAATTAAAGAGCTTTCCAAATATAGAGATTCTTGTCCATTTTCAGTCGTTACTTTTGAATAGTCATAAGTGAAATATAACGCTTTAGAACATGCTTGCTTCAGAAGATGAATGTTACCATTGGGAGTTCCTGTTCACAGTGTTTAGGCACTCAGAAGTTGCAGCTTTAGAAATTCTTTATAAAAGATGTATTAAATAAGAGTAAGAACAATGATCTAACTCATCTTCTGTGCTTCTTCCATCAGAACTTCTTTGCAAAACAAAATACTTATTTAGGGAGCATAATTATTCTTTGAGTGTTTGTTATCATCAAAACTCTTATAAGGGTTGTAGAATCAAAGTATGTTCTAACAATCTCCCCCTTTTTGATGATGACAAAAACTTGGATATTTTGTTAGAAACTTAAAGAACATAAAGCATTTAAAGTCCCCCCCTGAGTTGAATACTCAGATAGAGAAGAAATACTTCACTAAAGATTATTCTGATCAGAGTTTTTGAGAAAATGATTTTTGATGCGTCCACTTCTGTCCTCAACAGAGTTTGTTCCTGTTTTTCTTTCAGAAAAGAATAGTAGAAGTTATGATATTCAAAATGTTTGAGACTGAGTCTCGATACTGTTATATTAGAAATATCTTACATTTTCCCCCTTTTTTGAAAAGAATCAAAAAGAAATAAAAACACTTTAAGCAATAAAAGTCGGTTTGTGTTAAAAAATATTTTAATAAAAACACATTCTGAAGGAAAAAAATAAAAGGAATATAATGAAGAAAACAAATTTCAGAACTAAGTTTAAGGTTGTGGAAGTCGTGTGAATAGGGCTTCCAATAAACACTTAATCTTATTGTTTGACTCTTCTTGTTTTCCAAGCATTCCCTTGATTTCCTTACACGTATCATCCTGCTTGTCTAGTCTTTCCTTAAACACAACATTCTCTTTCTTCAACTCCTCTAGAGTTTGCAGCACAAGAGATAAAGAGGGTATATCAACGGAAGGTAACACTCTTTCAGAGCAAGCTGCGTCTGATTCTGACTCAGGAGCTTCTTTAACTTCCTTGCCTTTGTCTTGAAACCTAACCAGAGGCAGAGCATTAGAGGACTGTTCACCATATTCTAAAGGCTGATGATCTTCCCAAGGGTTATTATCCATCAAAAGGAGTGGCTTCTTTTACTAATGACGCAAAACTTGATCCTTGAAGATATTCAGATGATCACAGAAGTTCAGTTGAGAAATTTCATAACTCGGCTCCTTGAGTTTCAGGGATTCAGAGTTGAACCTTTTTATGAACTGGTTCCAATGAGAATCAGAAGCAACATGATTAAGATTCTCTAAGAAATCTAGCTTCAGAGAGTTAACCCATTCCTGTATTTTTGTTTCAAAAATCAGCAAAGATTTACCAACATCTGCTTTGGTGATTTTTGTTTTTGGTTTTGGTACATAAATTTTCTGAGAGCTTGTGACAAGATTGTCTAAAGCTTCTAAGTCTATAACAGTTCTAAGAGGATCTTCTGGGTGGTTGTTTGGAGAGGGAGAATCAGAAATAACAATGGGTGAATGTGGTGAGTTTGGTGGAGTGGATTGATAGGGAGATGGAATATCTGGGATGGAGAGGTTCTGTGAGGAAGATGAGGGAATTGTGGGTGGTTGAGAGGCCATGAGAGGGCAGGTGATTCCAGGAACGAATGTTGTGGTATCGGAGTCAAAATTTGGATTTTCTATGTGGAGAGCTTCAAACAACAGATCAAATTAATCAATATTAGAAAGAACTTGAGCAAGTTCAGGCTGATTTTGGTCAAGATGGGTAGTATTTGGATTGTCCAGAAGGATTTCTAGAGATAGTGAGGTGTCAAATTCAATGTCAAAGTCATCAAAAGTTTGTGGCGATGGATCTTCTGTGGGTTTTGGAGAAGAAGGGGTTTCAGATGTTGATAATAGTACTGATTCAATAACAAAAATAAAACACAAATTACCTTTCTTTTTGGAAGCATTGGGAATCTTCCGAGAAGTTCCTTCTGCAACAGCTTTCCTTTTCCTTGATTTTTTGGGAGCAATTTCCAAAGGTTGTTGTCTCAGATCACGAATGTTTACTTCTAGATTTGTCCCGTCCCATTTGCAAGCATCCAGATACCTGAGAATAATATATGGAGAAGCACCTATTTGAGTGAAGAGTGGAAAGTCCTTCATAGGTACTCTTCTATTTTTAATAACTTCCTTGGTTGTTATTGATGGATCCTTGTTGATGGTTTCAATAATCTTCATCTTCTTCAGATTCTTAGCGTTGAGAGGTTTACCAGCACAAGCTTCCAGAGTGTTGACTTGTTGAGCCTCAATCAGATGTTCTATCAGTTTGTTTTATGTCAGAATATCTGAAATGAGTCTTCCCAGAGGAATCCAGTCTCTCTTTGTTCTTTCTTCTTCTCTTGTCTCTTTGACGCTGGTCTTTAGATGATTGGACAAAAGATGAGTAAGATTAACCTTTGCTTTTGTGGCTATGAAGTACAGAAGATACTGCTGCTCAATATTAATATAGTCTGGAGAACTTGGGAGTTTTCTGTGATTGATGCAGCCTAAAATGATTTTTGACCAAATTCTGAGGTAGTCTTTCAGATCTTTGATTTTGTTGGATGGTTGGCCAAAAGTAAAAATTTCTTTTGAAAACTTTGTTAAGTCAAATCTTTTGTCAGCCATATCACTACAACGAATACCGCCACCATCGTGACCTATCAGTTGCCCAATGAGATCTTCAAAGATTACTATTTTCTTTCCCATCATGAAAGAAGTGACCTGATGATTTGAAGTTGTAGTGTGAATCCAGAATTATTTAACAAGTCTTGGAAAAATTGGACCCAGTAGACGATCAAAGTACTTTGTCCATCCTTGAAACTCAACTTCAGGGGTTAAATTGTATCCGTTTTCCTTCATACTGACAAAGTCTACAATGAGCTCACACAGAGCTTCCAGCGAATCAATGGGAGTTAGGAGAGTTCTTGAGGGTTCTTCGTACCTTTCTGCTGTTGAGGAAGAAGAGACATGAATGCTTTGAGAGCTTTGAGAAAGTTTTTGGGAGGAAGCCATTGTTCACACAAACTTTTTAGGGTTTTTGAAAGTTTGAACAAAAGTAAGAGAGAAAAAGGAATTTGAGAGTGGAAAAGGGATAGTGAAAGTGAGCAACGTATATACAGGAAAATAGGAGACTTAATTAACAAGAAAAGGGTTTGAAGAAAATGATTACTAGCATTAATGATTCCTGAAAATAGGGATATCGTAAAGATATGAAACAATTATAAATATGACATGAGTCTCAATGCATCCAATCAATGTTTCAGACTCTTCAGAATTTGAACACGTGTTCAGCCTTAAAAGAAAACCTTGCGTAGAGTTAACAAATATGGATATTGTGAACTGCAAGCTTGTATCTTTGAAATGAACCATTTGGACAATGTTCAGATCTTCTTAGACATATCCTGATACAACTTTCCTTCTTACTTATGAAGAATTATTTATCAAATGTTCACAAACAAAAAAAAGGCATAAAGTTATGAGGGTTAACGTATATATAACAAAACTATCATTCTGGGCATAATTTCATGCTGAGATATTTCAGAATGAAGTTAAACCTATCTTCAGAAAGGGGTTTAGTGAAAACATCAGCTCATTGATGGCCCGTGTCTATAAATTTTAATGAAAGAATTCCTTTATGAATATAGTCCTTAATAAAATGATGTTTAATTTTTATATGCTTAGCCCTAGAATGTAAAATGAGATTTTTTGAAAGACATATATCAGAAGTGTTA